TTGAAGAATTTAATATTTTTTAGAGAATTGGACTATCTAGAAAATTATATTATTATTCAATTGATTAAAATCTTAATTTTTTTAAATTCACGTGTTATTCAATTGATTAGAATTATTCAATTTTCTGCAACTTCTATTCTTTTAAATTTCAAAAAAATTTAATAGAATTTTAGGAGAAAAATGTGAAGAGAGCTGAAAGGGAATTACTCTTAACAATTTTCAAAATAATCACACTTATTTTTCTATTAAATTAGAGTAAAAAAATCTTGGAAAAGACAAAAGTTTACAACAAAACCAAATAAAAGATTTCAAAAATTAAAAAATTTGTAGTAAATTAATAGCAAAATCATCATGATGAATTTGAGGATGGGAATTAAAATGGCAAATGTGCGATTATAGTGATCGAGAGAACGATCCTTGATTAGTTTTAATTGCATGACAAAGCAAATTACATTAATCTATCGTAGGATCTACTGGTAACAAATTCTCAACTAGTAACCTCACTTTTTAGGTCTGTTTATATCAAAGTTTGCCTCAAAATGTTCTTTGATTTTGTTGATTTACCAATATGAGTCATCCTTTCCAGGTTTGCATGAAGATCGACGAATGATAACATATAGAGCTCTGTAACATCAAATTTTGTTTTGCTTATTACCGTCGTAAGATTTGAATTAATCACTGCCAGGTAAAAAAAATGTATAAAGCGAAAGATTTTGTGATATATTATATAAAAGATTCACTAGATGACTCCTTGCATTATACGCGGATTATATTTCTGAAAATCAAATAAATTATAAAAAACCAGTATTTCATATTTAACCATTGCTAATGATGTTCAAATTTATATTTTTGGTCTTTAAGTTTTTTTTCCGATTTTAAAGTTTTTTTATGAATAATAGTATATATCTAGGATAAAATATATAACGAGACGATTAAATATGTTTTCGATTCCTATTTAAATTTTGATCAAATCTATTTTCTTCTCACATAAATTTAAGTTTTCGATTAATTTAATTTTTCTGATTAAATTCAACATCAAATATGTGAATGTTCATTCAAATATATTTTTATTTAATTTGAGATTAAATGGATTAGAAAGTAATTTTATAGAAGTTTGTGAATAAGTTAAGTGAGATGACATGTCTAATAAAAAAATTCATGTTATAATAAAATTTGTGAGAGTGATTGTGGAGATGACATATAAGTATTTTCTCACAAATCAACTCTTAAATAATGTTTAAGAGATTAAATGGAATTGAAAAGTAATTTTATGAAAGTTTTTGAATGAGTTCAGTGAGATATTATGTTATAATAAAACTTGTCATGTTATAATAAAACTTGTATCTCTCACAAATCACCTCTTGAATAATATTTAAGAGATACATAATACATAGATATGGAATGAAAGCATATCAGTAAATCAGAGATATTTGTTGTTGTTACGATTTCCTTTTTTGGGCAA